GTGTTTTTTCCTACAATGTGTGATGTGTGTATATACACACACACACACACACACACATATATATATATATATATATATATTATCCAAAAATATTAAATTGGGGCCTTAGTGTCTGGAAGACTGGAATAAACGGAAGCATTCTGATATGTATATCATACTTATAAAATTGGTTTATTTAACAAATTAACAGTAAATTTGTGGTTTATTATACCCACCAATGCCACTTCAGTGATTTAAAGTTTTTGCACGTATGTGCCAAAGGCTACTTATACCTACGGCACACTTTACTCTGTTCCAGACTACCAGCTGTCAATTCTGTTCAAAATTAACATCTGTCATTAATGCGCACTGCTTGCTGGCCAACAGACATAACAATTTTCTTCTATGCAGGCATTATGTCTGCAATGGAAAGCTCACTCAATCCTCACACCTTCCCTTTGTGCATCCCCTCTCTATTATAAGCCTTTGACTGGACCGCACAAGGTTCTTGCTTACATAAGACACAGATGAGAGATTACTGGTAAACATGAACTATTTTTATGTTTAAATGGTGATGGTGTCTTGGAAGTTTAAAAACAAAAACTGTCAAAAAGGATTGGAGTAACTCTTTAAGCAATATTTAGTCAAGACAAACACATAAACTATAATGGAACAAGAGGTGACATAGGTCTTACAGTATATTGGTTCATATGCTTTATCTAAAGACGATTTCATGCATTTACATTGTAAGGGTCATAGAAGTAAGCAGATTATGTGTTTACATTATTTTTATCATGGTTTCCTAAAGAGTAATGTCATCAATTTTACTAAATAGTCATGGCAAAAGACTTGTCATGTTCCATTATTTTTCTTGTAATGCAATTTGTTCATATCATCATGAAAAAGAACTGATAGTAATTTCAGTATGTACTGATTTCACTAAGGAAACTTTAACCAGAATGTAAACATAGTTCTTGAAAAATAAATGATATTTAGGCCTTTAAACATTATTGTTTATATCTTGTTTTTGTTTTCTTTTCTTTTACTTAGGTACCGTTGTGAATTTCCATTTTGTAATCAGATCTAAGAGAGCAAAAACATGACCTGGATACCCAAGGGAGGTGGAATAATCTGCGGTTTAAAGGCCTCCCAGAAAGGGAGAAAGAGGAATTACAAGGCACCCTCTCCGAGCTGCTCAATGTCCTTCTAAAGAAACCTGCTGACAGCCTGGTGCTATTTGATAGGGCGCACAGGGCACTATGCCCAAGAGGCTCACAGGCTGACCAGCCACGAGATGTGATCTGTAGACTGCACTACTACACGGTGAAAGAGGATGTCCTACGGGCCTTCAGACAGACATCGCAACCTCTACTGTTCCACGGTACACAGATCCAAATATACCCTGACCTGTCTTGATCAGCCGCGTGACGGCTGCTGAGACCCATAACAGACCACCTCAGATCGAGGAATATTCCTACAGGTGGGGAATCTCCTTTGCCCTAATAGCAATGCATAATGGCTCCACACACATGCTTTCCAATGTAGCTGATGTGGCATTATTTACAAGGGGCTTGGAACTGCCTGATGTAAGGGTGGCCGACAGGTAAGGTCCTACGCAGATGCCAACACCTCCCCACACTCCTGGAAGAGATCCTACACACCGTCCAAGAGACGCAGACTGGACCTAAGAGACCAAACTCCAAGACCGTACCTCCCATCAAGTACCTTGCGGTACTAACTTACTGGTCTCACAGCAGTCCCACCCAGTCACTTGTCCCAGTTTGTAATCTCTCCCCATCATTTTTACCTTTCTTGGGACCATGCCCCATATGATTATTGGGAATGGCACATATGGAACTACGGCAAAATGACTCTGGCAACATCACTATCCACAGCCAACACCAGGGCACAAGGGACACAACATGTCATCAGGCCCAGACCTCACTTTGTTGCAGCGGACCCCTTCCCCACAGCCCAGCAATGACCATAATAGATGCCGGCATTTACGAGCTAAAGTCTATGGAGGACACTGCAAGGGCCACCCATAAAGGACTTCCATAACTTCCACTTACTTCCTATCCCCCTCCCTCCTTCCCCCCCAACAAAAGAAAACCCTTGGTGACCCGTTGCAAGGAATGTCCCCATGGGAAGGTCAGTGAGTTGACGCTACCCCTAATGTTGCTGGGGGTCTGAGGGCCATATGTAATTGACTGGACCACTGCCCCTCGCCCTGGGGTGTCACCTTAGGGGGAAACCAGCTGCATACCTCCCATCCCCTACTTGTCACCCCCCTCCATCAATGTACTGCATAGGGCCCAACTACCTATCACCAAAAGATGTGTTCCCCCATTCTTACCCTGAGCCAGTAGAGGTACCGGCCTGGCCCCTATGCCCATTACAACGGATCTCTAGAAATCAGATTGCCATCTGGCCCAAACCTGAACACGCCGTAAATCTTATAAACAGAGCTCCATACCCCCAACTCAAGCTGAGTATAGCCTCTCCCTGCGGTGGCTTTCTTACGCCCCTCAACACCGTTCTACTCCTTGAGGCACAGTCTCCCCAGCCTATGTTGAAAATTACGATATCAGCTACCCAACACTTTCACTTTCAGTTTTTCTGTTAGTAGTTATGTTATTATATTTGTTTTACTATTGCTAACTGTGTATCCATATTGACTGCATGACTCACCCACACCACTGCGACAGGTACACCTGTTGCCCTCTCCCGTACAGGGGTGTGGCCTCTATCAGGATCATTTCTCTCAATGTCAGGGGGCTTAACTCCCTATCCAAACACTTTCTAACACTGACTGAACTACCCAAATTTTGAGCAGACATTGCTATTCTCCAAGATACCCACTTTAGGAACGACTCCATTCCCACCCTTCAGAAATCGCAGATATCCCACAAGTTACCTTTGCAACTACGACAAGGCAAAGGCCAGGGGGGTAGCCATTCTTATATCGGCACATACACCTTTTACTTACAAAGACCATCATTCAGACAGTAGTGGCAGATTATTACTGGTAAAAGGCCTTATAGGACACACTTCTGTTACACTAGCCAACTTCTACCTCCCTCACAGAAGACAAAATCAATTCCCCCAACGGTGTTTGAGGACCATCAAGAGATTTAGTGAGGGAATCCTCATTATGGGCGGGGACCTCAACGTATCTCTTGTCTCCACGTTAGACCTATACAAGCAGCTTGTGGAAAAGAGATCCACACTGTAACACCCAAATGCAGCGGAAACTAAAATGACTAGGCACTCATACTACATGCAAGGGGGGAAATGTGGTAGGCTAGTAGCCAGAGCCCTGCAGAAAGATAGACGAAACACGTTCATAATAAAAATTAAACGACACTCGGGCGAAATGTCCTACGTACACAGCGACATCTCTACAGCATTCCAGGCATACTACACAAAGTTATATAACCTCTGCCAGACCCTGCCATCTAGGGAAGAGATCAACAAAATCCTCTCCACTAGAATCACACAATTGCTCCCACCAAATATTAGACAGTCTTTTGACTCGCCAATTACATTGGAGGAATTTAAAACCGTAGTGAAACATTTAACCCGACCCCGATGGCTTTTCAGGCAAGTACTATAAAGCCTTTGTGCACATTCTAGCAACACCATTTGTATCCGGAACACCACGCTCCCAGCAGTATCAATAGAAGCACACATCGCCCTCATACCCAAACAGGGGATAGACTTGTCTGAATGCGGGAGCTATAGGCATATCTCCCTCATAAACATTAATTTAAAAATATTCACCAAAATCTTGGCCAATCGCCTTAGACCCCTGTTGGAACACCTGATCCACCCTGATTAAGCCGGGTTTGTTCCGGCACAGGAGGCAAAAAATAACATGACCAAAGTTATAAACTTGACACATCTGTCATGCTCTGCCATCAACCCCAGCATCCTCCTCTCGATCAAGGCTGTAAAAGCGTTCAATAGGGTGGACTGGACGCTTTTGCTGGAGATGCTGACGGTGCTAGGATTTGGCCCCAAATCGCAGCTATATATTACACACCATCCGTCAAAATCAGAATCAATGGCCAGCTCTCAGACCCAGTACACACTGAGAACGGCACAAGACAAGGGTGTCCACTCTCCCCGCTCCTGTTCAAATGAATTTTAGAACCATTCCTACAGGGTATTAGGGATCACCCACAGATCATGGGCATACAGACAGGGACACAGGACTACAACGTCTCTGAATTCGCAGACGATTTCCTATTCACCCTCTCGGACCCAGTACAATCCCTCCCTCACCTAGTCAAAGAAATTTCTCTTTATAACTGCATTTCCAACTTTAAGGTCAACTTCGCCAAAAGTGAAAATACTCCCCCTGCATGTTGACCCTGACACCCAGAAAGACCTACAATCCGCATACCCATTCAAATGAGCCCCTGTGTCGGTCAAATACCTGGGAGTGCACTTAGCCCACAACCCAAACTTATTCTTTGACCTGAACTTCCCACCCCTACTGGACTCATTCTCAGGAGACATGAAAGCCTGGAGTAAGCACCACTTTGGATGGCTTTGTAGGATACATATCGTAAAAATGAACGTCCTCCCCAAGATCCTATACTAGAATTTAAGACTGGTCGACAAGTGCGCCAACAAAACAATGGGTCCAACTTGAGCTACTAGCGCCTATACACATGGTCCCCTGGCACAAGACCGGAATCCTGCTCTTAGACCCGACACATAACATGCACCACACAGTTCTACCCACACTGAAATTATGGAACCACATCAGAAAGACAAAAAACATATCTCCCCACCCATCTCCATTATACCCATTGAGCAAAAATCCACCATTACCCCCGGCTGTCACAGTCACCCCTTCAAGATCTTCCATGACACACCATACCTACAACTGTGGACATTCCTAACTGACACATGGATCAAACCCCTAGAAGACATACTCTCCCCCACACACGCATCCCCCATGCACCAATTCAGATACCATCAACTGACACATTTTATCTCCTCTATCCCAGGGCTAACTCAGGGTTTCAGACCAAGTACGATATTTGAAAGGACCTGCGTGTCACACACAATCAAGAACAAACACCTATCTACATTCCATAAGCATATAAACCAAGGAGCAACTCCCGACCTTCCACCCTTCACGAAAAAATTGGAGGATGACTTGGGCCTCTCCATATCAGGGGGGATTGGAAAAACATTTTCTCTACCCTATTTAAGTCCACAACAAGCAATAGTATTCATGAGAGCAACTACAAACGACTCTCAAGGTGGCACCACACTCCAACGAAGTTGAGTAGATTCTTCCCAGGTACCTCAGAGGTATATTGGCATATCTGGTGGCAGTGCCCAACGAACCAGGGGTTTTGGGACAGGATAGGGACTCTCTTACACACGATCACAGGCATACTCATCCCGAAGGACCACTTAGCGATGCTATTTTTCCTGCACCGCACGCTTCTGAAAAAGCCCCAATGGGTCTTAGTCAACCACCTCCTCACAGCACCCAATCTCCTCATCCCATCCTGTTGGAAATGCTCATCAGCACCCACTGTCAGGGAATGGATCCAACAGGTAGAGTCAGTGAGACAGATGGAGGAACTCACTCTTTAACAAATAAGTATAGGGTATACTCCATTACCTGGGAACCCTTGCAGAAATGTATGCAATCTCAACCTTGCAATATACCTCATGTTACCCCTTAGCTTTTAAATGAATCTTAAACGACTCTCTCACAAGGATAGCCCACACACTCACATGACATGTAACCGCTAACTACTGTGTTTTGGCATCCTCCACGGGTCAAATGGATACTCTATTTTATCTAGGTTCTTGTTTTGAATGTTAATTCTTTATTGCAACTGAAAATGTGCTCAATGTTTGTGGCAATATAAGCATTGTTGTACTTTTATGCACGACAAAATTTTAATTAAAAATATATATATATATATATATATATATATAAATTGCATTATTGATTTGAGTACATCAAAACTAGAGTGTTTAGCAAATTTTGCAGACCATTTATATATTCTATAATTAAAAGCTGAATGTCAAAATATCTACACATGTTTTCCAACAGGGGAAAATGTTTTAGATATGCTGTCAGAATGTGTGATTGTCAATTTGTTTTTAAACATTACATTAGAAGTGGCGTATTGTTTATGGATGGCATATCAGTAATAGTGATGTAATGAAAATGGATGGTATATTAACAATGAAACTTAGAATTACTTCTGAAGTCAAGATGCACACTCAGCAATCAGTGACATATTTAATGTGTTCATGATGTACTGCACATTAATGATCATCTGCTTCTTAAGATTTGTTTTCCAGCATTTGTAATGGAAAATAGCTGGCAGCTATTCCAAGAAAACAGCTATTTTTTGTCTGTATACCAGCTTAGTCCTGTAATTTTATGACAAACACTGCTTCTAAGTAATAACTACTGCACAAATAACATTAATTTGTTATTCTATGATTACAATGTGACCTATTCAAACCCATCCATGCCTGTTACTTACAGCTTTGTTATAGATCATTTATGATTTCAAAAGCAGTTTAGGGTGTTCTAAGATATGTTCTCATCAATTAGACTCCATAATGACAGTCTTTAACCTACGTTTAACATTTGTCTGTGCCATCAATAAAAAAGAGATTGATTTAATTCATTATTTCAAAGACATTGCTATCTCATTATGCAAATAACACTGTTGTAACATGGCCTGTGCTTTCTGTGCAGTTGTATAATAAAGAATATTTTTGTTCTTTACATGTAAACAAAATGTTATGTTTATTATATATCAGATTGGTATCAATCAGACAATACCACAAAATTCATATTTTGGAAAAGAGAATTCATATTGAAATAATGAACAGAACTAAATTACAACCAAAATCTCTCCTAAGGTATAAATATAGTTCAGATGCATTTTGTGGATGCAGTATTTTAATATGCACAAAGCAATCAGCACAGTATAAATTAATTGTGTTCCTCCATTATTTCTTGGCTTTGTATTATAAACTCTACAGTATGCTTGTCCAGTTTTGATTCTCCAGTTGTTTTTGGAGTGAAGGTTATATAGGTTAAAAGCCATTTATTACTTGACATTTTTTTAAAAAAAAGTAAAGTATTTTACAAAAATATACAAACTAAAATAAAGCAAGAAACGTTTTAAAAGTTTGTAATAAACATTTATAAACTTGGCATAAATGTTGTCAGTTTGATTTGTCTGGCACGCTTCTCAGCTAGGGGAGTTTCTTCAGCCACCCATTAAATCACCTAAATCAGTTTCACATGAACTAGCACTAGCCATGCACAAGAAACTAGGCGCATGCTTTTGGTTTTTGCAAACAAAAGAGAAAAGGATGTTCAGAGTCAGGGAAACAATAATGACAAACTAGTTCTCTGCATCCCTACATAGAGCAAGTTTAACAATTGGTTATGTGTGTTTTAGCAGAAAGAAAGACCTTTTTTTGCTGACCGTCCTAGGATTTCTGTATATGCGATTACAGCAGGTTAGAGCACCAGGCATAAACATTTGGATTTCGATGAGTGCAGGCCTATTGTCAATATATATCATAGTGGCTTTGTCACCTTCAGGGTGTAATCTACCCTGTGGGTGACTTAGAGGGTCTGATCAGATGGCTTTTTGGTAAGTGTACAACTGTAACCTTGGTTACAGGGGGCGTGCTGTTAACGCAAGTCTGGAAGCAGATCCTGTTGCTCGCCAATCCCATTGGCTCACTTCACATCAGGGATGATTTAATTAATAACCCAGTAACAAGTAACCCAGGACGTTGCTGGATGATGGCACAGAAGAGGAGCAGGCATCTGCTGAATCTGCCGAAACACAGGTAATGGGGTAAGTGGTTCTTTCTATTGCCCATTTAAAGCTTTTTTGTTAATTTTGTATTCATATGCCCTGATGAATGTTTGAAACTTAAACTGAAACGTTTGAAAATTACATGTGAATTGATTTGACAAGACCTTGAGTGCTGTCTTCTTGGAAAAGATCATATATATGTACATGCATGCACATTCACACACACTTTTACACGTACATATATGTTTTCAGTATTGTCAACGAATAGAAACTTTTCCATCTGTGTGAAAAGATAACAGGATACATTTCTGGCACAGCATAATAAAACACAGGCACCCCATGAGATGTGCAGCAAGTCAGTAAATATTTTCAACAACATCTTGAAATAAATTGTACCCTTAGACTTTTAAGACTTTCAAAACCTCACAAAACCTTCAAAATCTCACCGTAACTTCCGAAGTGACAAACAAGGTTGCTCCAGGAGTGCCCAGTAGCGGATTTTAACCTGGGTACTTTGCAGTCCTGGGGCTGCTATGTTACCTCTGAGACACCATTCAGCTTTAGTAATGCCAGTATCCAGCTCTGTCTTGTATCCAGTACTGGGGGACTGGACATGCATTGAAGTTTCTCCTGTCTCTCATGGTACACCTGAGGTTGGTGGTCTCGTTAGCCAGGTATAAAACACTGCCTCTCCCAGAAGGCAGGGTCAGTTCCTTGACTCTGGTTCAGTATTGCTGTTTGTGTTCCATAATAAAAGAGCAAACATGTGCAAAGTGATAAAGTTTCAGTGCATAGCTGCACCTTTTGTGAGGGAAAAAAAAACAGTAATGACTGCAAAGTTGATATAAAAAGGGATAGAGATCCCTCCTACAAGCTCACTTAACCAATCAGCTATGTACAATGAATGTAAAACTCACCCCATCTCTGTGAATAGCTCCCACACTTTTGTACATTAAGGGATGTGTCCTGAAACGTTTGTCATTTCTGTAACCCTTCTTTTAAATTGTGTTGTAACACTTTTGCACCAGTTATATCCAATTTGTACTAATCCAATTTGTACTAAAGCTATATCTCTTCTTTTTCTTATTATTGAACATACTGCTTACAATAAGATTTATTTCTACAAACACTTAAAAACTTTTAAAAACATTATTTTGGTGATTCCAAGTTGGTATTAAGTGGGAGTGGCTAACAGTAGGACACTGTGCTAACTATTTTCGCCAGTAGGACACTAGGAAGAATGCAACAGGCTATCTACCACTCAAAGATTGTTTGAGTGTGAATGTGAAAGAGCTAGGCAAAAGGAACTTTTGGTTTTCTTTTTGTTTTTTACTGAATCACACAACCCCCCCTTCCTCCCCAAAAAAAGTTTTTCTTTCTACCACCAGATAAAATATGTAATAACTGTAAATTGATAACCATGTCTCAAACTAGGATCAATGGGACAATTACAATATCATATATTGACACTGACAGTTGTATTAAATGCCACTAACAGATGACAGACAGACAGACAGACAGATAGATAGATAGATAGATAGATATCATTTGAGGATCAATGACACAATGACAATTTCCTATTTCCCACTTAAAGTTGTTTTAATAGTGACTGACAGAAGAAACTCTTCTCCATTGAATCCCCCTTTTTTTAAATGCCCTGGATTGAAAACTAACAAATTAAAAAACAAACATGTTTGAGCTTGTGGTAGTCATTTGTTGCAAGATTCTGGCATGTAGCTTTTCAGAAATCAGAATTTTGGTCAAACAAATACTAAATACTGCACTATATTTTATCGTTTTTTTTTTTAACTTATATGAGAGAATGTAATACGGTAATGATAGCTAATATTCTGTATATGCATATTTCTATTATGAATTTCTATTGCTATGATAATTAACTTTTTAAAAACATTTTTAGGATTGCTCAGTTATGAAAGAATAATATTGTGCAAATTGATTTAAATATTGAGATTCGTAGGTCTATTAATAAACCGTGAAATGTAGACATATAGTTTGATATAGGAAAAAATAAGAATCTGCAATTCAATCTAACACTGTGATGTATCTGTGGCTAGTGCATAGTTGACATAAATAATGATCTATATAATGAAAATACATCTATTTACACACTATTTATTTTAAATGTATAATTTTATGTTTTAGTGTATGTTTCTATTACTTCTACATTAAGAGAAAATATGTCACCTTTTTATTGTTTTTATAGTAATTGAAGTACTTTACTATTATAAATTTGCTTAAACTCATTAGGTATATATTGGAGCTATGGGTTTTTTTAAATTGAAACTACAATATTTTAGCACACTTTGACAGCAAGTGTTAGTTATGCGTTGGGAATACTCAGATCCATATATACTTCATAATCAAATAACAGGAAAAAATCAATATATGGCATTGAATAAATTAGTGGTGTACATTAAATTACTTTTTCATAGCTACATTTTTCAAGATA